TCTCTGTTAGGTCTTACACTGGGCGGTCTGCGGCTGTATGTCTGTTTAGGTCTTACACTGGGCGGTCTGACCTTTTCCATCCTCTGTTTAGGTCTTACACTGGGCGGTCTGACCTTTTCCATCCTCTGTTTAGGGCGGTCTGTAGGTCTTACACTGGGCGGTCTGACCTTTTCCTCTGTTTAGTCTTTGCACTGGGCGGTCTGACCTTTTCCATCCTCTGTTTAGGTCTTACTGGGCGGTCTGACCTTTTCCATCCTCTGTTTAGGTCTTACACTGGGCGGTCTGACCTTTTCCTCCTTCTTTGCTAGTCTTACACTGGGCGGTCTGACCTTTTCCATCCTCTGTTTAGGTCTTACACTGGGCGGTCTGACCTTTTCCATCCTCTGTTTAGGTCTTACACTGGGCGGTCTGACCTTTTCCATCCTCTGTTTAGGTCTTACAGGTTAGGTCATACACTGGGCGGTCTGACCTTTTCCACTCTCTGTTTAGGTCTTACACTGGGCGGTCTGACCTTTTCCACTCTCTGTTTAGGTCTTACACTGGGCGGTCTGACCTTTTCCATCCTCTGTTTTTACACTAGTCTGTCTTTAGGTCTTACACTGGGCGGTCTGACCTTTTCCATCCTCTGTTTAGGTCTTACACTGGGCGGTCTGACCTTTTCCATCCTCTGTTAGGTCTTACACTGGGCTGACCTTTTCCATCCTCGGTCTTACACGGGCTGACCTTTTCCATCCTCTGTTTAGGTCTTACACTGGGCGGTCTGACCTTTTCCATCCTCTGTTTAGGTCTTACACTGGGCGGTATGACCTTTTCCATCCTCTGGTTAGGTCGCTTATTCAATAGATAACCTTGAGGACTGAATCAGTATACATACTATACATATTGAACAGTCGGTTTGTTGAAATTGTGCGAGAACTAATGAAAATTCATTATACGGATATGCATATAGAAATAGATGCATATCTATCAGTCTAGATGTGCATACCGACCAGGCAGATAGATAGATAAATGTATATGTATCAGATAGATAGAGACGCAGAGGGCAAGGAGCCAAAAAAAATCCTTCATATAATTCAATTATCTTCATGTTATCAATTAATATTTATATTACGATGTCCAGGTAATATAGTCTATGAAGTAATTTTCAACTTTCCCGCAAAGCATCCTTAAAAAAAAAAAAAAAAAAAAAAAAAAAATCTTGACTGTGTGATCATTACGTTCTGTATTAATCTTTAGCTTGTCTGTATTGAAAGATTGTTTGTAAAAGGTACCATACTCTAGTATTTATACTATAAATTATAATACTCTAGATTTGGGATATATTAACTCTTCTTGTAAAACATCAACAGAAGATTTTATATAATCACCTAAAAGAAAGAAAAAAAAAAAAAATAAAATAAAATAAGATAAAATAAAAATAAATAAAAGATTAAAAAATAACACCATTTCATTACAACCATAACTCCGAAATACATTTCTTTTTATAGCAATCTGCTTTATATTAGAAGGAAAATCAGTATTGCGAATCCAATTAAAGACACGGACCAGATTAGCTACCACCATACAAGCCTCACAAGTCAATTATCACGTGGATCTTCACACACACACACACGCACACCACACACACACACACACACACATACACACACACACACACACACACACACACACACACACACACACACACACACACACACACACACACACACACACACACACACACACACACACACACACACACACACACACACACACACACACACACACACACACACACACACACACAAAATGTTGTGTAGCGCAGCGGTGACGAGTGCGTTTCGTATTGCCAATGGGAGGTAAACTCGGGTATTTCTTGTACAAAAAGGTAATTTACTGTAGATGTACAATAAACAGACGGCTGCAATCCGCCTGCAAACCTGTAGTTTATTTATCATTATTATTATTATCGTTATTACTGTAATTATTATTATTATTATCGTTATCACTGTAATTTTCATCATTATTATTATCGTTATTACTGTAATTATCATTATTATTATCACTGTTATTATCATCATTTGTTTCAATCACCATCGTTATCATTACTAAAACCTCCACTTGGGCATTACAAGGAAAGTAGTACCATCTGATAGTTATTAAAGTCTGCACAGTTATGAATTTAAAATAGGACTAAATGAATTGAATAAGAAAATAGGACTACATTAATTAGATTTAAAAATAGGATTAAATTAACTGAATTAAAAAATAGGACTAAATTAATTCAATTAAAAAATAGGACTAAATTAATTGGATTAAAAAATAGGACTTAATTAATGGAATAAGAAAAATAGGAATAAATGAGTTATGAATTGAGAAATACGACTAAAGAGGAACGCAAGAGAGAGAAAAAATAACAAGACTTTCTTTTTCTTTCTCCTTCTAATATGGCGTCTTGACATTCCCTCCGGCAGAGAGGAAACTGCTTCTTGGATTTCGAGACCGTCTTCCTGCTGGATAA